ATATCTCACTGGCGGATAATCCTGGAGAAACATGCCCCTGGGGATCCAAGAAGCAAAGGCAAGCAGACAGAGAGATTATTCTGATAGAAAATTATATAGTAACACATTTTCTGGAGAAGCAAAACCACTAATCCTCACACAGATTTTTGGGTCCAACATATTTTGTAATATTCTTACAAAATCGCAGAATTTCAATTAAACATTACTCTAAGTAATACAAATAATGGGGTAAAAAAACACTGTACCAATATATGTACTAATTAAAACTATGTACATGTGTAAAATTACTTTTAACTGTAAAAGGTCTGTAATATTTGTTCAGTATATGTTAAAATGTCTTGACACATTGTATAACTTAGTCAAATAGGTTTAAGATGTTAATTCATTATCTTCTACTCGGGAACCTGGACATTTTTTTCCATCCATCCACATTCGATCCAGTTATCCTGGTGAGGAGCATGGGGCTCGCAGGCCTACAGAGCAATCCTGATACCTGTCTTCAAGGTCAACGTCTCTGGCTCCTTCTGGGATTCCATGGTGCTTCTAAACTAGCTAGGAAGTGTAACCTCAGCGTTGTTTCCTGGGGGATCCTCCCAAAATAGCTTAAACACTTAAATACTAATTTAGCTTGTAGCTGAGAGGCCAACTGTTCCAGTGAATAATAATAAAAAAAAATTCTGTTAGCGTTTTAATACCTGGTATGTTACTTTTGGAATATCTCCTTAGATCAGTTATGTTAAATTGCCATTCTTTTTTCATTCTTTATAAACTTCGTGAATTCGCAGAAAGAGATCTTATGGTGGAATGAGCAGATGTTCAGTCTCAGATTTATGCTGCGTCACTGAGCTCCTCAGTAGGGACAGACTGCACTTAGTCGCAGATGAATACAGGCTTGTGTTTTGTATGTTGACTGAGAAAGGTATCTTACATAGGCTGCAGGAGAGTACATTGAAGGTTGGATCAGAGGATAATGTGGCAACACAGAGTGTTCAAGTGTAAAATTTATTAATCTTCCCGAACACCTTGTGGTGTTTAATTAAGACTGAATTGGGCCAGGTTCTGTCTGGGAGCCAGGTTACAATGATACTGAATGCACAGCAGAATTCCCCACCTTACCCTCTAGCTCTGTTGGATGCCTCCCCATCCAGGACCCTAGGGTGACATTGGTGGGAGGGTTTTTAACGCATCACATTTCACTGTCACCATGGCGACTAGCGCTGTTGAGTTTTACATGACATTCACATTGTGTCTTTGGTGTGAGATCTCAGACTCTTAGTATATCAGCTGTGATTGCCAAAAATAACCTGACATATTACAAAACAGATTCTTTATTGTTCATTGGTTTGGAAAATAATTGATCACACTGTCTGAAAAGACAGGACAAATCATATCCCATACTGGTTCAAAATGGGACAGAAAGAGGATTTTATTTATACAGCCTGCGATGCTAAATAATTTAATCTGCTTCATTTTTGCTCTGCCACTCTTATCTCTTTTCCTCGTACTTTTGTGTAACTTCCAAGTCAGCGCTGGTGCTTGTAGTCAATTCATCAACAAAATTTATTGCTAAAAGCCCACCATAGCAGCTCAGGAGGGAATGAAAAGTACCGACCCTGGTGTAGGGACTGAAAGAAGGATGAGGCACAGCCTCACAAGTTCTCAGAGGGCCTCTTGTGTGTCAACAAAACACGTCACATGTGCTCGGTAAGATATTGAAACATTATTATTCGATACATTTGTACTACACAGATGCACATACTACCTCCATGTTAAACTGAACTAAAATTGAACTCAGCCTCAGGTTAGTATATATAGACACACACGCACGCACACAGGTACACATACATACATACAGTACATACATATATATATATATATATATATATATCATCTGAGGTCAACATCTCTGGCTCCTGATGGGGTCCAGATGGGGTTGGCTGAGGATGGGGTGCCAACCCTTCACAGGGCACATGTAGCATTTGCATCTACAGACAATTTGGTAACTCCTATTCACCATTCATGATTTTGGACTGTGAGGGGGAAACTGGAGTACCCAGAGGAAACCCCGCAATGACACGCGGAGAAACTCCCCACACATGTAGCCATGACAGAGACTCAGTCCCTGGTCACAGAGGTGTGAGGCGAGAGTGTCAACACCTAGCCACCTAGACCAGTGTTTCCTGACCCAGTCCTCGGGGAACCCCAGACAGTCCACGTTTTTGCTCCCTCCCAGCAACCAGCCAATCAGGAACACAGAATACTGTACCTGCTACAGGTGCGCTGGGAGCTGAAAGCATGCAAAAACATGGACTGTCCAGGGTTCCCCGAGGACTGGGTTGGGAAACACTTTTCTAGACAACATTATTAAAAATCCTTAATTACATAAAGCTATGTCTCAGTGGCTGTGGAACTGAGCGTGCAGCCATCACAAAGTGAATGACATCAAGGAACAAGGTGTTATTGCTCTCCTAGTGCAGTTCACAGGACACCGGGCAACTGGGCCACATATAGAGAGCCACGTTCAGGTGGGACTGCAGAGTGGGCAGACTGCTGACCAAGACCCGGGCAACCAGCCAGGACAAGGGAGCAAGTCAGGGAACACAGTGCTGAAGTGAACCATCAGAAAATAAGGTGTAAATAACAGGGGAACGGCTAATGTAGAATGTAGGAACATTCCACGGTACCTGAAGATACAATACAGTAAAAAAAATAGATTAAGAGAAAGGTAGGTTGAATTTGTTGCACTTTGTAATTATATTGCATGAGATAAGTTTCAATATAACTTTCAAGATAAGTTTCACCAAACACAATGGCTAAATGTTTGATTAGTAACGTAGCTTATGTAATATCAACTCAATATGCAGTCCAATATCTATGTAGTTAGACCTGGGTAGTACTGCTGGTGAAATTCAATTAAATTCAGGCCTTTCGATGTTTAAATTCTCAAAACACCAAGATCCATACTTAGGTAAACATTTTCAAAAATGGATAAATGGAGATGAGGTACTTCTTCTGGCATCAAACCTAACATCTTTTGCCAATAGCTATATATAATAAGTGGATTAGAGTTTTCATTATTGCAGTGTGCAGTGGGCAAAGTGTTCAGGCCTACTTGAAGCTTCACATTCACCATACCATAATTTTAAGTTTCAAGCGTGTCAGTAATACAGCTCACCAACCTACAGAGCACTGACTTGTGACCTACTATTCATCACCCCCAATTTCCCAACAAAGGTACGACAAAAAAAGACAGTATTGTATTTAAAGCAAAACGAGGATCTCCAAGCTAAATGAAATCTTTATTAGTCAGTTTTTGTACAAAAGCTTTGGGTCACAGAGAAACATGCATTTATTTACAGCAAGGTCAAATACTTTAAAAAAAGAAAAGTATTCATCATTTTCATAAAAAGAATAAAACATTGTGCTTTGATAAATTTTGATGGTACAACATTCTATATTGTATAAAGATTCACTAGTCCTTTTAACAGTTCTATGCAAGAAACATGAAAAATAATACATTCTGCAAGTTCAAACCCTCAGAGACAAACTCTGAGAATGATGCTGGCAAAAACCAAGTTTTTACAAGTGTGAGGAACATAATAATTCAGTGGGAATGCACTCAATAAGCCAAATGGGGAAAATGGTAACCAGACAGCCAAAATCGGAATAAAGATTTTTTTTGGTTTTGCTCTGATTGCAAATGGGCATAAGGAACAGTAATATTGGATACAGATGTTCTAGTGTAGGAATGCATTGCTTGTCAGGAAAATGGGGCAGTACTATAGCACAGGGGATAGAGTATTCCACGCTGTAACCTGCTTTTTCTGAAAATATGAAGTTGATTCACAATCTTGAAGTTTCCGATGGGTTCTTGTAACATTTATCTAACTTTCCCCACAAGTCAAGTTGCATTTATGCATGTTATATTTCAGTATAATATAGAATATACAGTTGAGGTTAATATTTTTAGTTTAACTTATTTATATTTTATCCTCAGTTCAAATTGTAAGTATTTATAACATTGAAATGACTACATCAAGATTTGCTTCTTGGTTATTTTTCACTCCTTGACCTAACAGGAAAACAAATTAGTACCAGTCTACACAGTTCAATAAATCAATAAAATTATAGTTAACAAGAAAGTTTTAGCATACAGTCCATTTTTTTCATTTGTTTTGCTTTCTTGCTGTATACAGTAAATAAGAAATAAAATAATACACATATAATCTTGTATCTTGTGAGACCTTTTTTTCCTGAAAAATAAAAAACTTAAAAGAATATACAGTACAGCCCACAGGCCTACTATTATCTGTTTAATTTGGAAATAATGCTCAGACAAAGGAATGTGAACAGTGGCAAGTAGCCAAGACAAAAAAACAAAAAAAAAACATTTTCTGTAAGACATACACAGCAGAAACCTCCTCAATGCGGGTCTGAGACATAGTTTGATTTTAAATTTTAAACGTAACATCACTCAATGAAAACTATCCCATCTGGCAGCTTTATTTGGGAAAAAAACCTTTGTGTTCTGGAGTGTTGAAGAAGTGATGCATTCATTAAAGGGGGATAATTCTGCTCCTTAAAACGCTGCTTCTGCTTTATGCTGAAATACATCTGAGATCTTCCAATATCTAAGGATCCAATGGAGCTGGGTGGTAAATCTGGGAGATAAATGGTTAGTGATTCTACATGGCCCATGGACATTTTCCAAAAACTACAAAGATTTTCCTTTGTTTGATTGGATATTAGACGTGTACGTCATAGATTTTCAGATGTCATTTTAGGTTGTTATGTTATGTTATAATTGTTATGCCCAGAGTCCATATATTAATTCAACGTCAGTAAAGAGAACTAGACTTTTTATAAACATCCTTTTTATTGTTATATTTACTTTTTATAGTATAGAAGAGGGGGCATTGTCATTAAAATTGCAGCTAAGTAACAAAATGTATTTTTTCCAGAAAAAAATAACACGACCCCACTTAACACCATAGAAAAAAAATCCAATATATTAATTTGTCATCTGTCTAAAAAAAAAAAAAAACAGGTTACTTCTGTGGTTATTAATTTATGTTTATAATAGTCAGGAGCAGGAAATACGTTGCCTTTCATGAATCCTATTTGCATATCTAACATATTTATCTTATTACGTTATACATTTAAAAAAGCAATATGCAAATAAGCTGTGGTATTGGAAATGTACTGTAGCTAGCCATGGTTTTCTGTTCAAATACCATAGACCAAATATTCAGAACTTGATTCAATGCGAACAGATTCTAGTCCAGTCTTTTCCTACTAATAGGGATACTTAGGAAGACGTTCTTCTGTAAAATTGGTTCATTTTTTGCAACTCATCACATTAATAAATACCCATTTTAGTAAATTGCATATTTTAATTTATACATGTTTTTTTTTTTTTTACTGTACAGATATCCCACAACAGTATGTAGTACTGTATGTAGGCCTATATTTGATTTGTGAATATAAATTGAAGTTTAATAGTAAGATTATTCCAAAAACAGGTCAACTTCTGGGTTACATGCACATTTTGAGAATTGTGCAAGATTGGACATGATCTAGCTCCATCTTTTGGATGGTATCAGGTTGTGGTATCAGTATATTGGAAGTGGTTGTTGTTTATGGTTATGCTGTTATTTGAATAATAACTATTGGGTAATGGGCACAGCAGCAAATCTCCAGAGAAACAGGAGCCCTGACCCCAAACAATCGAAGGCAACAAGCCCCTGATGCCCATCTGTACATTCATTCTATGTCATTTTTTTGTGTGTTTCTGTGTTCCGAAAGTCAGCTGCCTCCTGGAGCACAAATAAAGCGTTTTCTATGATGAAACACATTCAAAACATAAAAAATAAACAGATTAAACCATGCTTTACACAATTAATAAAAATGATGGGAAACAATATTTCTTCATGTTTTGAAATAAGGAGTCATTTTTCCATTCCACATTTATCCGTTTCTGTACAAAGCATTTTATTGTTTTACATAGATTCTAAAATGTATCTGGTGTGCTCTTTAAACTTTTCTTTATTAGTCATGCCTAAAACAATAAAGAACAAACCATGCCTACAATATGTATATTTTGGACAATTAAACCTTTAATAAAAACCTGTGCCTAAATATTCATAAAAAAGTCATGATTTCTGATTTGAATCTACAGATGGCAAAATCATTGTGTTTCAATTAAAAGACTTCCTATTGGTTTAAGAAAGATGAATGCCTTAGGATTTAAAATAAAAGAGAAAACTACATTTTTAAAAGTGCATTCTTTAAGAACATCAACATAATAATCTTAAATTGAAAATATATTACTTATTAACTCATATGTTTAGTTGAGGTATACGTTATAAGCCTGTAAATTTACCAGAGGCTACAAATTATGAGACAAATAATTGGGAAGTGACACTAGTGTATGTATTTGCAATATAACATTTAATGGTCACCTTAAAATATATTTACATTAATCTAATAATTTATAATTTATTTAAAATTACATTTTCACAGTTCTTGATGCTGGATTCAACTACAATGAGTTTATGAAAATTAACAATTTGACAATTGCTAAATTAGAAAATGTTCCTTTTTAATCTAATAACAAAACTATGCCCATACATGATAATACAGGAAACTAAAATATTTATGGGAGTTTTAGGGGATGCACCCTTTAAGCACGCAAACTGAAGTTTTTTCCAAATGTGAGAGTACTGAAAAATTCTCTAAAACTGCTTAAAAAATTGAACTTTCTGGAAAAGAACATTCTGGATGACAGACATACAGAGCCCTGAATAAACAACTCAGTTTATAGCCTCATTCTATTTGCAGTGATGTCTAGAAATTCCAGGTACTGTGCATTAATTCTCTTGTTGAAATGTCACTGATATTCTTATGTTTTGTGAGTCTCTAAGTTTGAAAATCGTTTACAGTGTTTGCACTGAATTGCAACGTTTGAACTGAAAATGAGTTTAGGAACATTGGAGAACAGAGGATGATGTCATTACAAAGGCAGCAGTATATGACGATCCGGGAGAAGCAGTGAGCCAGTCCCATTAACAGCATTGATACGAGAGACGCTGCCAGAAACAGAAAGCAGAATGGCTGATGTTCCTGCCGGGGTAGAAAATAATCAGCATGGATGTCGCTCGTCACATCGGCGGAACTATCAGTCCGGCCATAGCTGAAAAGACAAGACCGACACGTGACAAGATATTCAGCTAGATTTTTTTATGATGACAATATTTGCAGAAGGTTTAAGGTCCCTTAGCAGTAGGAAATTAGGCATTTTGGTTAAATGGACAGAACATTACTCCTTGACCTGCAGGCTTCTTCAGAATCAGCACGAAATACCTGTAGACTTATGAATGACTGTCGGGAAAGTCGGAGATGAAAAACAGTCTTGCTGATGGATCTGGTGAAGAATAATGTGCTTGTTCTTGGTACATGACCTAGAAAAAGTATGTTTGCCTCATAGACTGAGTTTACATGGCAAGTCATTTAGTGTATTTTCAGAAGCCCCTCCCCCCCATAAGCTACATGCATCAGAATGTCTGTCAAAAGAATCACACCAGCAACGGGTCAGTACTGCAGATCTCTGCCTCGTGTGAATAACACAATAGGTATTATTACAATAACAAAAAAAATCAGACAGACAACAAATCAAATGCTGCCAAATAACCGTTTGTTTCTTATGAGGTGAAAGAAACATTGATGTTACAATTCTAATTTTGTAATGCCTGGCTTAGATTAATGTTATACCGATTGATAGCAGTATGGCTATTTGATCAAAAAAATGAACAGGCCCTGGGGTTAATTATACCCAAAATACAACAATTTGTTCTTATAAACGGACTGCCATAAAGAATATTATATTACAAATTAAAGTTAAATACAATGGTTCAGAATAATGAACATACATGCTACTTTGTCATGTTTGTAAAAACATTGTGCAGCTTCAGTGTTTGGTCGGCTCAAGATGCAATACAATACTGTATGTAGTTCCTAAATATTATTATTATTATTTATGACATTCCTATCTCATTTGTAGCCTGGGGACTGCCTATATCGAAATATCAATATTTGATTGCATATTGTAAGGAGACAGATTATATATGCTGTTTAACCTGAAATAAAAATTTTAATTTCCATTCAGACTGTGTATCAATTACTGCATACCAATCTTTTCAAACCAAATCTCCTTTTTTGAAAAGATAAAAAGGAATCCATGCTTCTAATTGCAATCTGTATATGAAAATTATGGATCAACTCTGAACAAGCCTTTATCTACCAGCACCCATCAGTGGTGTGTGTGTGTGTGTGTGTGTGTGGGGGGGGGGGGGGGGGAAGGAAGGAGGGGGCGGGGTCCTCACCCTGCAGGCTGCTCCCATTGGTAGTGGTGCAGATGGGGGGCGGGGAGCTCGGTGGCCGCATGACAGGGGCAAAGGCGCTCTTCTGTTTGACTGCGGAGATGATATTGACAGGACAGAATGAGAAGATGCTAGCTGGGCCAACGGAGGTAGTGGGGGCGAGCAGGAGAGGACAGGGTGATAAAAGGGGCCCCCAGTGGGGGGCTGGAGGCGATGACTGCATCAGATATAGTCAGACAAGTATGTGAGTGGACAGGCATGAGACGGACCCTGACGGGGCAGGCAGGCATCAGGTCTGGGCTCATGTTATCTGCCCTGGCATTACCCTCACCGACGGGGCAGGCAGGCATCAGGTCTGGGCTCATGTTATGTGCCCTGGCATTACCCTCACCGACGGGGCAGGCAGGCATCAGGCCTGAGCTCATGTTATGTGCCCTGGCATTAACCTCACTGAGAGGTGACATTTTACTGCTCTGACCCATGCAGAGTTGATCCATAACCTTAAAAAATGCATGCATGTAACATAAAGCCACAACTATTCTGTTAGTACTACTACTACTACTACTAGTACTACTACTACTACTACTACTACTACTAATAATAATAATAATAGTTTTGTTTGCTGCCCCAGTTTTTAGGTAGGATCTTACCTCCAGGATTTTATCAGTTTTACTGCCATGAAACTACCGAAAAACATTGCTTCAAATTAAAAGGGAGAAATGGCAATGGTGTATATCAGTATTATTAAAAGGTAGAAATGGCAATGGTGTATATCATTATTATTATAAGGTAGAAATGGCAATGGTGTATATCATTATTATTAAAAGGGAGAAATGGCAATGGTGTATATCATTATTATTAAAAGGGAGAAATGGCAATGGTGTATATCATTATTATTAAAAGCTGCATAAGGGGCTTCTCTTAAAAATAAACATCAAAATGATATTATTACTTAGACCTTTGGGTTGCATTAGCTACAGATATTTTACTCAAAATACTGTAGCTCCGATGGTCGCATTTACAATACATTACTGAAACTGAATAATAAATGAGAAAGACAATTGACAATTAACTAAATATAGAAAAATAGTAATATAAAACAAGAAATTACTGCAAAATAAGTAATGTACTGTAAGACATGAATTTACCTTTAGTTTATACTGTGATTCTTACGCTTATCTGCTGCAAAAGAGTCTAACATCACTTTCATTCCCAATTGATTCACAGGCAAATAAAATATGTTAATTAATAACGTATAAGTTACGGCAGAGTTACTGCAATATCAGGTTAACCTTGAAAGAGAAATATACAGTTGTGGCCAAAGGTTTTGAGAGTGACACAAGTATTGGTTTTCACAAAGTTTGCTGCTTCAGTATTTGTAGATCTTTTTGTCAGATGTTTCTATGGTATACTGAATTATAATTACAAGCATTTCATAAATGTCAAAGGCTTTTTGCGACAATTACATTAAGTTTATGCAAAGAGTCAGTATTTGCAGTGTTGGCCCTTCTTTTTCAAGACCTCTGCAATTCGCCCCGGCATGCTGTCAATCAACTTCTGGGCCAAATCCTGACTGATGGCAGCCCATTCTTGCATAATCAATGCTTGGAGTTTGTCAGAATTTGTGGGTTTTTGTTTGTCCACCTGCCTCTTGAGGATTGACCACAAGTTCTCAACAGGATTACGGTCTGGGGAGTTTCCTGGCCATGGACCCAAAATGTCGATGTTTTGTTCCCCGAGCCACTTAGTTATCACTTTTGCCTTATGGCACGGTGCTCCATCATGCTGGAAAAGGCATTGTTCATCACCAAACTGTTCTTGATTGGTTAGGGGAAGTTGCTCTCGGAGGATGTTTTGGTACCATTCTTTATTATTGTGAGTGAGGCCACTCCCTTGGCTGAGAAGCAAACCCACTCATGAATGGTCTCAGGATGCTGTACTGTTGGCATGACACAGGACTGACAGTAGTGCTCACCTTTTCTTCTCCGGACATTCTTTTTTTCCGGATGCCCCACACAACTAGAAATCGGTTTCATCACAGTAAATGACTTTACCCCAGTCCTCAGCAGTCCAATCCCTGTACCTTTTGCAGAACATCAGTCTGTCCCTGATGTTTTTCTTGGAGAGAAGTGGCTTCTTTGCTGCCCTTCTTGACACCAGGCCATCCTCCAAAAGCCTTCACCTCACACCTGCCTGCTGCCATTCCTGAGCGAGCTCTGCACTGGTGGTGTCCCAATCCCACAGCTTATAATTTTATGAGACGGTCCTGGCGCTTGAAGGACTTTCTTGGGCACCCTAAAGCCTTCTTCACAACAATTGAACCTCTCTCCTTGAAGTTTTTGATGATCCAATAAATGGTTGATTTAGGTGCAATCTTACTAGCAGCAATATTCTTGCCTGTGAAGCCCTTTTTGTGCAAAGCAATGATGACTGTATGTGATTCCTTGCAGGTAACCATGGTTAACAGAGGAAGAACAATAATTTTAAGCCCCACCCTCCTTTTAAAGCACCCAGTCTGCTATTCTAACTCAATCAGCATGACAGAGTGACCTCCAGCCTTGTCCTCGTCAACACTCTCACCTGTGTTAAGGAGAGAATCACTGAATGATGTCAGCAGGTCCTTTTATGGCAGGGCTGAAATGCAGTGGAAATTGTTTTTTTGGGATTAAGTTAATTTTCATGAGAAAGAGGGACTTTGCAATTAATTGCAATTCATCTGATCACTCTCCATAACATTCTGGAGCATATGCAAATAGCCATCATAAAACCTGAGGCAGCAGACTTTGTGAAAATCAATATCTGTGACAAAACTTTTGGCCACGGCTGTATAGTATTGCCTTTAGGAAAGAGTCAACATATTTTTCTTTTGCATGCACAGTTAGCTTACTTGCATAGGGGGAGCTTGTGGAAGAACCATTGAGGAAGCTGGGTGATCCAGGCATGGCCAGGTTGCTCATAGCAGTGGTGCTGTAGCCGTTCATGGTGGAGGTGATGGAGCTGTACCCAGACTGCTGGGGGGGGGAGCTGGGCACGTAGCCACGTGGGGACACGCTGCTGGAGTTACGGGAATAACCTGGACAGGTGGAGCAGTGTTTGTCACCAATGTAAAGGCTTTGATCCTGTAGACCAGCAATGTGTCACATCAAAGTAACTGAGTGACTGAGCATGACATTCATATACTGCAGCTTGCAGAAGATGTTTGTATTACAGATCGAAATGCATCAACACCATTGTCAACAGCCACGCGATGTTTTCACAAGCATCACAAAAGAGTGTGTGCTTTCCTTGTTACGAACCAGTATTTAAATGGTAAATGGACTGCATTTACAGTATATAGTGCTTTTCTACTCCTACGAGTACTCAAAGCGCTTTACAATACATGCCTCACATTCACCATCCACACTCACATCCATACACCAGTGGCGGAGGCTGCCATGCAAGGCGCCAACCTGCACACCGGGAGCAATTTGGGGTTCAGTGTTTTGCTCAAGGACACTTTGATGGGGTCAGGAGGAACCAGGGCTTGAACCTGCAACCCTCTGGTTGCCGAACGATAGCACTACCTCCCGCGCCACCATCTTTAACTCAAATTGTTAATATAACAGGCTAGTACAGTATGAGTTGTCCGTAACTCAGACGTACGTAACTCAAGGACTGCCTGTACTTACTTGAGTTCTCCATATTAAACATGCTTTTAAAAGAGAAAATATCTTGTAATGGCATATTTGAAAATCTGTTGTCATTATTTTAAAAATGCCTGATCCCCTCTGGTCACATGGCCATCGCTTATTACTTCAATGTCATCTGGGGGCTAATTTGGCAGGATGACAGGTACAAAGTCAGCGCTGGGTAAGAGCGCGAGTTGGTGAATAGACCTCAGTGATGCGGGCACTGCTGATGTGGGACACGTCCCCAAGGATTTCCCAGCATGCTGTGCTGCCTGGGCCTGCATGCAGTTTCATAGTCACTGTGGCCTAACAGCCTTTAATGGTGGACGAGTTTTGCACCTGCAGTGACGTTTTCTGGTGGGGTCAGGTGATGAGGGGGTTGGGGGTGATGTAGAAACAGACATGGGGGTGATGGAGAACACAAAGGGCTGTGAGGTACCTCCTCTTTGCAGTACAAGCTTAGAACCAAGCGGCCTTTCTGCACGCTGGGGCACGAGTGGTGATTTGGCAGCGAATCCTATGTCACCTTTCAAAACTTTAGCCCTCCCTAAATAAACATATACTGTACTAATTAGTTTAAATACACTGGGCCCTTTTCATCAGACCCCCCAGTAAAGGTTTACCCCCCATTTTCATAAGTCTCTAGTTATGATCCTGATAGTAATTATAACTATGTTTTCCTGTTTACTTATCTGACAGTCTTCCATGACATGATGACAAGCGTATTGTATCATGCTTATCGCAATTCCTGCAGCTACAGCGCAGCAATGAAACACAGGTGAAAGCATTTTCTCTCCTTCCATTACTGGCTTCCTTTCTTTCCCCCCTCCCTTTCTCCTCAATGGGTGAGCTGGGGCTGTCGAGTCAGCGCACCATTTCTATGCAGCCAGTAACTAACAGCAGGGAGCAGCAAGACACAGTGTGTTTGAAAAGTCAGATTCTAATTCATTTCATAGCAGTGCAGGTGCCTCTGCTGCAGGCCACTTAACCTGAAAACGTTCCAGTAAAACCCAAAGCTATAGAAAGGGGTAAGAATTTGATTGTCAGCTAAGGAATTAAGTGCAGTGTAATACATCCAGTCAGTCTAAAAGACAAAATAATGAAAAACCATCCTGTTGCCATTTGACGACAGTCTGCCCGGACCTTCAGATCTGTGACAGACAGCAGTCGACGTGCGGTTTTGTGTGGGCTCACCCTGGTCGGTGGGGGACGCCTCAGAGATGTTGACGGCCAGCTGGCTGCTGAAGGAGTTGACGCCCATCATTCCTGGATGGGCGGGGGTCAGGGAAGGCAGCTGGGCGTGACTGCGGGGGGCACTATACAGAGCCTCCGTCAGATCGGCCGCCCGCTTCAGGATGATGTCCTGCTGCGAAGAACAGAATATCAAATAGGAGGGAAAACTTTTGGAGCGATTCCTTAGACACCTGCATACAAAAATGAAATGTCTGTTGGCCTCTGTCGGGTTACCCTTATGAAATCTGTGATGTTTGCAGTATTTATTAGACAGAGAGACAGACAGACAGACAGACAGACAGATAGATAGTCCTGAAGGAAATCTAGGTATCCAGTAGTTCCAGAACCACAATGATAGACACAATAATACACACAATAACAGAACAAACCACAAGAATTTCAGATGAATGACCTACATCGACACCTGACACTGTGAAACACCTGAAGATGCACAAAACCATTCCTTACTCATAAATGCCCCCCCCCCCCCCGTTATGCCGAGCAGCTCCCCCCCCTGTCGGTGCCAGCCTGCATTGTACCTGGTTGTTGTGTGGCATTCCATACAGGGCCTCCACTAGGTCCGCAGCTCTCTTCAGCAGCACCTCCTGGAGAACACAGGAGGCACCTTACCCACCGCAGCCACACTTACAAGGAGCTACCGTCACACACCACAACAAAGGTTAGAACACTTGCCAAAAAACAGAATAATGATTAGCAAAATCCCAAATATGTCATTTGACAGTTAAAAGTGAATCATAAAATGGCGTATACCTCAATTAAAATGCATGGCGCGCAAAACAGCATTACCACTTATTGTCAATTCAACCCGTTAACACAATCCACCGCCTCAGAGGCAGAATGATCGCCCAGGGCATTTTTTCAGTGCTGCTGGCTTTTCACTCTGCACTGGGCTTTTGAGAAAAACAGGGCACCTGAACTGCCTAAGGGCCTTTTGCATTTATGATCATAGTTTTATGCTGACCACCAACTACTCAAATACTTGTGTTTAACATACTAAACTAATGCAGACATTTTCTCTGTTAGAATCTTTATTGTGTATATTCTGAAATTGTGAATGTGTTTTCTGAGCTCATTATAAATGGTTGCGCTACCGATTTAAAATGACCATTAAGAGTAGGAAGTTTAACACTGCAAGATTTTAGAATTCTTAAATGTAACTTACCAAACTGAGCCAAAGGATATTAAAAAACCTCAAACATTTTTGCTACTGCCCCCAATCTAAAGCTCTGCTTCATTCCAGTGGCTCGGCAGAGTCACTGACAGCCAGTGGCAGAGTCACTGACAGCCAGGTGTGAATCCCTTCACCTGGACCCATGTAAAATAAGATGTCAACTACAGTTTGAACGAGTCCTACATGCAGCAACCATGACCTCTATTTTGGTAAAATATTCATGATTTCAATGTTCAAAATACCTTCCAGTGACACTTCTACAGTGTGACCTATGTGGGTCTGACAGTGAAAAGTCTGACATGGACAACAACATCGAGTAAATAAGCTTTGTAGATTAAACTGAAAGGATCGTGAAACAAACATGCATCTGTACGCTGGGGGCATCCAATATTTTTTTCTATCTTACTGCAGATGTGTATTTATATCCCTTCCCCCACCCAGCTTCCCCCAATCAGCTAAGCATGAATGAATATGAACAGTCCACTTGGCAGCAGTTGCTGAAATGCGTCCTGGTTCCGCTCGTTAGCAATGATAACTGCAGCTAACACTCCTGTGTAAACAGCACTTTGCCATGGTGATGCTGGAGGCCTGTGGTCAGGGCAGCGGGGCAGACAAACGGGCCCGGCACGGCTTTTGATGGAACACTGAATGTGAGAAGCATCGGCCTCCCATCAGTGGGGCCAGCTGCGACCAGGAGCTATGGAAGCCTCTGCCGGGGGTCTCGGGGTACGACACATGCGTCGGAAGACGGAGTCAGTGAGGGCGTCGTACACAGAAATGGGAAGAGATGAGCAGAAGAGAGAGGTGAAGAGTAACGGTAAATAGGCAGATAAAGAGACAAGGGAAGACTTGCTGAGAGATATCTACCCTGTCACTGTCACATTACGAACCTTCAACACTGAGTAAAACGCAACCTACTGAATTATCATTCTCAATGGTGCAGGCAGGCCAGAGCCCAATAAAACCCAGGATTCTGATTTCTGATTTGTCACCCATGCGTCGCCGTGGAAACGCCGAAGTACCAGTGTACGCTCTGGCTGTTCACAGACACTCTCGCTTTCCCACATTCCCCAACGCCTCATTCATAAGTCCTTTCATCAAAGAGCAACAGCATCCTGTTGTGCTTTCCCGAAATCAAACAAGGCCCCCATGGATAATGAGTGGACCATATGGCAAACACTCGCACGGCACTGCAACGGCTACACTCATCAGTGACTCTTAATGAACACAGATTCCAGCTACAGAAATTACAGTAAGCATGAAAAAGTAGTCTTTTGTTAAACACAGCAGATTATTAAAAGAAAAACATTGACAGTGTTATGTTTTATGTAAAAGGATGACATGATTTGGTACTGAAGTTAATGTGCAGTTGAACAGTTTTAAAAATAAAGGAATCAAAAAATCAAGAAAGTGATAAGACCAAAATAAATTAAACTAATTCTTCAATGCTCGTGATTAGGTAAAATTTTATTAATGTTATCTGTATTCACCCATAACTGTTGAGCTTATGCTTATGTATATATCTGAGATGGTTTTACAGGGTGAGCCATTGTTCCAGGACTCCTGGAGCACGTTTTAAGGGGTTCTCTTCTCTTAACACTAGAAGTGCCGCACTGGTTTGACCTATTTAATAACCTTACTCATGGCCCCAACAATGACAAAATTACTCTACCAACCACTGGCACAGACTCAGCCATACAGCACCCCATTAATACAGTTTTACAATATGACCAGCATCTCCTTAGCGAAAACATAACATCGTCTCTGCATTGGCTGGTTATCGGGCATACGGGCCCATGGAATTCACTTGGGCTATAAAAGTGAAAGACAATACACAGTTTTGGTATGCGAGGGTGACTGTGTCTTTTGGTGTTTCCACTTCTCCCATCATGCATTGTTTCTCAGTGAGGCTAATATGTCAGGGCTCCCACCATGCCTGTCAGCAGAATGGGGGTGTAATTTCTTGGCTCTTTCCCTAAGCCATAGATCCAAATACACATACTACTTAATCAATAGCTACATACCTCCTAATGAAGTCCACACGTCTCTTAAATAAGACTTGGGCCTAAAGTTAAGTAAGGAACAAAACAGTAAACAATATTAAAAACAGTACAGATCAGTATAAGCAGATCTCATCAAGATTTAGCCCCAGTAGTAATTGAGGAAGTATGGCCTGCCATAGGAGCTGCTGAGACCCTTCTACACCACGGTCATGGAATATGCCCTGTGTACATCCATCGCAGTCTGCTTTGGAGCACCATGAACCAGGACACAGACTGCAGCGAACAGGGACAGCAGAACAAAAATCACTGGTGTTCTTCTGCCCACCCTTTAGGACTTGTAGTCTTCAAGAAACAGGAAACTGACAGGGAAAATCATTGCAGATTCCTCGCACCCTAGAAACAACCTTTATCAACTCCTCTGCCCTGGCAGATGTTACAGAACCCTGTATAGCAAAAGAACTTGACAAAGAAGCCATCACCCTCAAAAACAGGTGACCAGCATGCCGCAGTATAACCTGCCTGCAGAAACTGTATTTTGAAATGATCATTATTGCTGTTGGCACTTTATTCAATTTTATTCTTGCATTTAAACTGTATATGGCTTGGATATTGTGTATTTTCTGAAAATTTATGTTTATTATCTTTATGTTGTCTGTCTAATTTGAGAGACACCATTGACTGGAACCAAATTACTTGTGTGACTTAATATACTTGGCTAATAAATCTGAATCTGATTCTGCTTCAGTACTATTTTATAGATACTAATTACAGTATTAAATCCGAGTACATTGTTAAGGTAACTGCATCTGCACACAACCACTGAAGCTACACAAATCAAACTTATTTATATTATGAACTGTTTTTAAGCAACACAGTCACAGTTAGATAAAATCTGGCTGATGCAAAGGTTACAATGCTGAATAATTTCAGCCACCGTCGTGCAGCTATACAGTTGAACTTGAGTTTAGGTAAAGGGCATGGTTGTGTTTTCTATACTGCTGGAGGACAGGGACAGATCCATTAAGAGTCAAATCCGTCCTCTCACATCCTGTATGACCTTGTACGTATGGGCTACCCTTCCTTCTGAATAGTGATTATATACATTTGTTTATGCGTATGCAACAGAACATGTCAGCTAGACATTTTTTCCCTTCATTCAGTAGGCTAAATGAGAAGCAAATTCTTCAGACAAATTTGTTCATATTTTTAAAAGCAAAATCCTGGAAGATATTGGGTGGGAGAAACACCACCGTCTCCCTCACGAGTAACGCCTGTGGTTTAAGACCATAAACAGTCTGTTCATTTCCGCTGCATACTGTGAGGAACATACCGCTGTATCCCCAAGGGATGCCAGTGTTACACATTTGCTTTCTTGAAATCAACAATTATGATCTGCTGACTCTATGGAGTTATCAAAATCTATCAATCCAAAGGGTAGGAGGGATGGAGAGTAGGAGGGCAATCGGTTCCATTCTCAGATTATGGAGAGGCACCTGCTTCATTCATCTCTTCATTCAAATAAAAACTCCTGCCCAGCAGACATAACCACTTCCACATTACATTTGTAACAGTAAACTTGTAGACAGATGGTAAGGCTCCAATCAGATGACAAAGAATAAATGGATGTTAATGGAAACGTATTGATGTGTTCTTTCAACAACAGTAAGAGTTATTGAGCACAGAACAATGATCCCCGTCTTTTACTTGATATTATTGGAGTAAAGACTATGTCGAAAATCCCGATACTTCACATGGGGATGCACAATCAATAGCTATAAAAGCAATAGATCTGTGCTTTTGTTTACATCCCCAGTCAGTACCCTCCCCTTCCAAAAATTCTCCATTGAAAATATCGCAGTAAAACAGAATTCCTAAAAATGAAGCAAAATTCATGAAAGGTCCTTGGCCTTAATGCTATAGTAGCACTCATCTCAAAATAGATCAAAATTAAAAATCTAGAAAAAAAAAATGAGCTTTCAGTTTTGATGTGTTGAAAGCAAACAAGAAACAGCCAAAAACACCTGCCTGGCAGCATAATAATAATTTGTTGTCTGCTTTGCCATCAGCTTTTAGAGCTGATGCATCAGGAGAAATAAAGGCTCTATGATCATACCGACCCATCTAGCAGTCCTGAGAGCATTGCTAACCCCACCTTGGTGATTTAAGATTTAAGATTTAAGAGTTAAGATTAATATCATGATGTGCAACAGAAATCCAGATACAAGCATCGAATATTATTTGACAGAAATGTGAAGCTCATGGTGTTTGAAAAAACGGGTAACACTTTATTTGAAGGGCCTCAAATATTGAATTTATGCTACTACATATGTATTAATTAACCACAAACTAAGTCATAGTTTCATACTGTTCTCATGTTAATTCATCATTAATGAATCATGACGCATGTTTT